TATGTTCGGCCTTCTGAAGCGAAAGTACAGGCGCTCGGATTGCCACAGTCTCCAACAGCTTGCTACTGTCGTGAGTGAAAGTGCTGTGTCCAACATCCCTCAGCTCCTTCCAGGATCCACTGTCACGTGGTATGAATGGGATACATACTTCGCTAAGCTGTTCAAGCCCATACCGTCTATCAGTAAAAGTCACCATTTCGTGTTTACTGCGGAGATGCCAGGAATGGTGGAGACCAAAAGGTTTGTCGACAGTGATGCTGTGGCTGTACCTATCTTGAAAGTGACTGCTGAGGAGGTAAAGGCTGCTGGTATTCCCGCAACTCTGCCTGCTGGTGGCTTGTCGCAAGCACGCCAGGAGTATTTGCACAAGGAGATACGGCCGTTTGTTGCTGTGGAGCACCAAGACACTCTCTGCCCTGCCCCCGCTGCTTCTAGCCAGCTCTCGCCTTGAAACTGAGAAGAGAGTGCATATGAACCTGGTCACCTGGTGCTTGGGGAACAATGTTTGTTGCTGTTACTGTAACTTCCGTTGCAACTATTTGCCAAAAGCCACATTCTGGGTCCGCTTCTTGCGAAGTACTCCATGGTGGATGACTCCCTAGTTACTGTGTACATAACAAAGATTTAAACAGGTTGTTTTTCAATTTTGTCTTTTGACTGTAACTGTGTACAAATGCTGTACTTTGGCTGAGATATTCTCCATGGCTATTGCAACCAGTCTCCTCTGGCTGAATGTCTAGGAGTTTCTTACCCCCTTATCTACATGTCCGCATTTTCCGTAAAAAACGAGCCCACAGCAGGAGCCGTAACTTTGATTAGAGTTGGCCAAATTGAGTCAAATTTTTTTATTCGATTTCTACAATCACTGGCTACCTGAAAATGCCATCAGCTGAATTTTGTTGAAAATCACCATAAGGGCCCTTTTCGCGTGCTCTGGCTCATTAATTATTATATATTATATTATTTTTATAGTGTGTTATGCATGTTTTGATTCTTTGTTGCCATCATAATATCCGATATATCATTACATCCGATAATATTGGTTATAGTGATATTTGTACTGGATAAAATACGTTTTGCATTTGATATTTCGTACCAATATCACTGTAGCTGATATATTCTTATATCCAGTCACTCTATAGCCGATACAGACTGTACAATCATGTATTTCTAAGTGCGGTAAAATTGATTTGTGGCTTTGAAAGAGATCGGGAGAGGAGACTTTGTATTTTCGGTTCATTTGTGGGAGAGGTCGGAGATAAGAGCAGTTGCCAGCGAGTGGTGGCAAGATTCTTCGCTCTAGAAGCAACATGAAATTTTCTAGTTCATGCTGATAAACCAGCCAGATGTCAACAGTGCGGAGCCACAAATTTGTACCGTAGCAAAAGGTATCGTGGAATTTCTTCATAGACTGGTGTTCGAAGTACACGGCTAGAGCCGACAAGAATCGATAAAACCATTATATCGATCATTAATGATATTGGTCGATCGTTAGGAGTTATTGAATGATCATTTCAGCTCTAACCCGAATCCTGGCGAACTTTTGTGTTTGTGTCCTGGACGCGGAGGGATGATGTTCTCCTATTCTCTCTCCGTTGCCCATCCGGGGACCACGTTACCCTTGTGACAGAACAGGACAGGTGTATGTGCACATGTGTGTGTGTGCCTGTGTGTGCCCGTGAGTGTCGTTGTGTGTTCCCGTATAATGTGTATATGTGTGCGTGTCTACTATGAGGAGTTTCGTTTATGTATGAAGATAATTCCTATAGTTGTTGGGTATGTTACCATAGAAGTGGGGCAACTAATGGCATGAAGAGCTTAAAGGGGAAGTTAAGGCTAAAATTAAAATTTCACCAGTTGTAATCTTCGGGGTGCTGAGTCGAATGGTCGTGGTCCGAGACAGCTGAGACGCTCCCTTCCTACTTGAATCCCAATCAAACTCGCGCACTTCCACCGAAACTGGGTGACTGCGCCCTACTAGATGGGGATTTGTATGCAAAATGTCACTAAAAGCGCCATTTCGTTCTTATAAAAGCCCGGATGACCGCGATTGGCCCATATGTTGTAGTCTTTTGGACGCTGAGTCAACTGGTTTTGGTCCGAAAAGGCTGCGATGCAGCGTTCCTCCTTTATTCCCAATCGAACATGGTTGAACAAGCGGTCACGTGCTCCTGCGTACACCAGTCACCTGGTCACTGTGCCTGCAGCCTGAGTGCAGGGTACAACTTACTAGCCTGTTTGACCTTTTTTGGGTGCAATCCTGTCACTCGAGTTGAACTCGAGTTGTACCTTGGTGTGAAAGTTGTCGCCTGCTGGCGTGGTGACCAGGTGATTTGGGCACCCAGGAGCACGTGACCACTTGTTCAACCATGTTCGATTGGGAATAAAGGAGGAACGCTGCATCGCAGCCTTTTCGGACCAAAACCAGTCGACTCAGCGTCCAAAAGACTACAACATATGGGCCAATCGCGGTCATCCGTGCTTTTATAAGAACGAAATGGCGCTTTTAGTGACATTTTGCATACAAATCCCCATCTAGTAGGGCGCAGTCACCCAGTTTCGGTGGAAGTGCGCGAGTTCGATTGGGATTCAAGTAGGAAGGGAGCGTCTCAGCTTTCTCGGACCAAGATGATTCGACTCAGCACCCCGAAGACTACAACTGGTGAAATTTTAATTTTTGCCTTAACTTCCCCTTTAATAGTAATGGCATCAGAAATCTTTTGAAAATACCAACTTCTGGGCAAAATTGGATCCACTCTGATCATAGTCAAGTTGGGTATCTTGTGGGTAGGGCAAGTATGGGTTAAACACAACGTGGATCCAAATGCATCCGAAAGGCAGAGTGGTCCTGACTCTGGTTTGCCTGGCACCTTCAAACTGTAATCGAGTGTCTGTCATCTGTGTTGGTTACATGCTGTATATACTTTCAATGAAGTGTATTATACTTTACATGTACTACCACCGATGAACTTCTCTATGCTAGGATATCCATTTCACTGCGGTAGGGTATTGCCACCTATCCACTAAGGTTCAGCAACAAAAAGGGTCACTTTTACTGAAAACAACAACACCTCTAGAAAGTCCGTTACCAGTCCTGGAGATGTCCTAGATAGGACATCACGGAACCCAGCATGCCCCAGCATACATACTATGCTGTTCCCATGGTAATCGTGACACGTGACTCAAAACTTTGTGTCGCGGCCGAGGAAGATGAACATGTCGCACTCAAAACAAGCGCAACGAAGGCCTTTCGTCTCAAAAGCAACAAGTAGTTGTCGTTCTCCTGGCGGCTTGCCTCAAGCGAGTCGAGATTCGTATCTTGCCTCTTGCCTTCACGAATTTTATTTTCCTCGTTGTGGAGTACGACGCCTGGACAAAGGAACTGGCAAGCGAATCGTTTTGGTCGCATTGAAAATTGCAAGTGCACAAGAGGATTGGCGAAGCAATTTGTGTTCGCACTTTCAGCAGAGCAGTAGCTGCTGCTGCGATAAAGTTTTTACTTTCGCCATTGGTTTCAGGCAGCAGAAGGATCTGGCTGAAAGCGATGGCGATACGTCCATGACCACCACGTCCTGGGTTGATATCCAAGAAAGACCGTCCAAGGTCCAGTTTTAGCCAAGAGCTGTCGTATCCAAGAAATCAAAAACGCCAACAGCAAGCTTTGGCCAAATAATATCTTCCAGGTAGTGATTTACGCGCCTAGCGCCTGCTGCCTCGTCTTCCTCCTCTGCATGGCCAGGTTTGGGGCGAAATGAACGCACGGGGCGTGAAGAAACATTCCAAAGGCAAAAGCAAAACATTCAAATAATTAGAACCAATCGTTTCCGAAGAAGCGCCGCGTGGCTACGAGAAACCCCACATGAAATCCCCAAACGAAAACGGCCATTCGGTCGGGTGTTCGATGGCGAATCGAATATACACTACCTCAATCCCCGCCGATGTCTGATATTCTCCGCCTATCCCTTCAAACTTGACCAATTCGGAAAGAAATCCATCGCCATTACGATCGTGCATCCTCCACATACATTCAGAAATGCTCACGCAGCACTTCTTTTCATCGCGTGTGCGCGACCGACGCTTCCATGACAACTCTGGGACAGGTAACCAATCAGACTCATTCAGAGTGCGATGTCCTAGATAGGACATCTCCCCGACTGGTTACTCTAGCACCCCAATGATTCGTCATATGAGCGCGCCAAGCTAAAAAGTGGCTTATTGTTTTGCCAACAAATCGAGAAAATCACCAAAAACGTCACAGTCAGCAAAATTCTACTCGAGCGCAGTCGCGAAAATTATTCACTTTCGAGCATCCTTTCAAGTAAATATTTTGCAAGTGGAGAAGAAGAAAGAGGCCTTTTATTTTTGAACAACACTCCTTCAGTGTTCCCTCTTTCATGATCGTGGGGATTTCTCGGCGCTGCCAGAGATCGTAATGGAGCGTTCTGGAGAATGTGGAGGCGAGCAGGATGACACTCTGTCTCCGTGTGCGCCCAACCCTAGTTGACGAGGAAAACTCGCTCATTCATAGTGGCTGTGGTTCTCATCGTGGCCACGACTAGAGCGGCAGGTATACCTATGTGGCGACGTCTACAAGCCGTCCGACTATCACTCTGACAAGCTCCCTAGTGAGTTGGATCTTGCTGTGATGTATCACTTTGTTTCGGGTACCTTCAAAATGTTCATGACGTGGCGTACTGTACTCCAGATTTTCCTCATTTCAAAGCCAATACTACAATACTACAATACTACAATAGTGCTACACGACAAAGCGATGCATTGACTCTACCTGCTAGCATATCGTCCCGTGGTGCTTCTCCACTACCTACACCAGGGAAGGAGAATGACATGGACTAGGACGGACAAAGAATCAGTGCCACTTTTTAGCGATGTGCAATCTGCTGGACCTACGTGCAAGAGACCAATGGAGCTCGATCTCTGGCACAACACTACGAGCTACAGGAAAGGATTAATTCATCATGGCGTAGGTGATTGGAGAGAGGATGACGGACTGTCTTGGTAAGATGCGACATTTCCCAGCCCAGCGAAAATATAGTCACAGACTCACAAAATCATTGAAGGATATGAAAATTCGTGTTGCGTGATGAAATGACATGAGATGCATAGATCAATTATTCCCGTAGCTATGCAGAAGACGTTACTTCAGTAACGTCTGGCGCTAGCCAGGGTCCACACAGCTTTAATTTGGTATTTGTGTGTGTGTTTGTTTGTTTGTTTGTTTGTGTCACGCCTGGCGCTATCCGTATCTGACGGCAAAAAAGCATAGGATGTTATAAATTTTTCAATTCTCCTATTTTTTTAAGGCATATCCTGGGATTCGAACCCGCACTATCTCCCTACATGCATTCCCCCATACACTTCGCATTCATACCCATTCTTCCAAGTTACTTCACGTTATTATCTTGCGTTTGAAAGCCCTATTTGAATATTGCGGGCAGCTGCATGTGGCCAGCTGTGTTTGATGGTACGGTACGGTACGGGAGACGGTGTCGTATTACCCTCGATCGTACCTGTCCCGTACCAATCCCCTACCGTACCGTGCCATCAAAGACGGCTGGCCACAATGCATATTCAAATAGGGCTTTCAAATGCAACATCGCAATGTGAAACAACTTGGAAGAATGGGTATGAATGCGAAGTGTATGGGGGAATGCATGTAGGGCGATAGTGCGGGTTCGAATCCCAGGACATGCCTGAAAAAAATAGGAGAATTAAAATTTTTATAACATCCTATTCTTTTTTGCCGTCAGATCACAATGTGAAACAACTTGGAAGAATTAGTATGTATGCGAAGTGTATCGGGGGATGCATGCAGGGCGCGCGATAGTGCGGGTTCGAATCCCAGGTTATGTCTTAAAAAAAGAGGATTTTTTAAAGAATTTATAACATCCCTATGCTTTTTTTTGTCTAGGTCATCAAGGCAAAAAAGCATAGCGTAGGGCCCTGACCTTCCAAGCTCTCTCGTTACTTCTTTCTTGGATCTTCTAATCACAACTCAAGTGCTCGTTCTTCTTGTATTGCTTCCACACCTGCTAAGCTTTGTCTCCACTTGGTGTCCCATGTTTTCTGGAGGGGGGGGGGGGGCAGGTCTTTATAATGATTATTATCTTAGTTTCATTGATACCAGGCATGCTGGGACATGTGCGCAATGTTTGCTTGTTTATGGCACATATACATTTCAGATGGGCACCAAAATTTCCTTGATGGAAGCTGGATAGGTAGACATCACTTTGGCATGAAAAAGAAATTTCCAAAAATCATGCCTAAGCCACCTTTTTGCTTGGCTCGGCTCATATGTCATTATCTTGACTTCCTGGAAAGGTTTTCACCAAGGAAAACGTTGAGGTAAAGTCGAAGTCTTCACGGAGTTGTAAACCAGCTTCAGAGCCAAGTAAATCGGTCCCAAAGTTGTACCACAGCTGCGCTAGGCAAAGAAACTGTGTTTTTGACAGCCTTCCACTGTCTGTGCTCGTATCAAGTTCAGTGGGGCTTGAAATCGATGACGTCAGAAGTCGTTAGCAGTCAAAATCTAGCAACAAAAATTGGACCCACTCCACCTACGGGAAAGAATCTGATTTAGTAGATGGACCCATGGGAAAGTAAAATATAGCTTTTATACAAACAAACAAAACAAACGCCTTGTGTCCGCGTGTAGGCGTAAACTTGTTTCGTACAAGAAGTGACATGGAGGGCCCAGTGCAGTCATTACCAATGGATGTGGCACTATGCTGTGTTGGAAAACCACTTAAAACGTGTATGGCCACATGCCAAAAAAATGGACCCGGCAAGTAAATCCAACGTCACCTCTATGTTTTGGCTCCTGGCTTTCTATGATGTAGCACTTTCAATTATCAAGCCCTAGTCTTTTCTGAACACTCCTGCGAGTCCACCTTTGCCTTCTTGCATGAGTTACAATTACCTTGTCTATGATCTTGACATGAAGTAACGTTATGAACTTCTTGTTGTTTGACTTTTAGGCAACTCTAGCAGCTCCACTGTGGCCTTGGACGAGTTGACAGAGGATGATGGAGTGCTGTCAGAGGACAATGAGGATGATGAGGATGAGGATGATGTTGAAGTTCTGCCACAGAGCTATGACAATGAGCTGGAGTTTTCGAGGCGCACTGACGTAGCTGCTGCTGCTCAGCCCCACATCTCGCAGCAGGAATACGACCAGCTAAATAATTGCAGTAAGGACTTCCAGCTTGTGCTGGCAGTCATTATGAGGTCACACCGGAAAGACCAGAATTTCCTCACAGCAATCCGGACTTGCATTTCCAACGGTGAGTTCATAATAATTATTGCCTGTAGTATAAGAATAGAGAGGTTTCGACCCGCGTGATTTGTGCTCTTACGTGAACGTCAATTTTTTTGCGTTGACGCGAGCTCAAAAAGAGCTTTTGCTTCACGTTGCTCGTGAAGCACGTCGTTTCGCTGGCGACAGGAGCGAAAACTGGGAGCAAAAACTAAAAGTGAAAAAGTGATTTTCTGGTGAGGCCAAAGTCACACAAATATTATTTATAGCTAGTTAAGGCAAAATCGACAAAATCGAGTCCATAATCCCAACCTGATAGCAAGGCTAAATTTGCAAAACTCGCGTTCACGTCGAACGTGAGTTGACCTCAGCTCATGTCTTGAACGGGAGTTTCGACGCCAAAATTTGCCACACCGACGTGAAATTTCACGGTGTAGTGCGGTTCTGCTCCGAAAGCAAGCACGAACCCTCGCGTTGCATCCTTATCCACTGAACAGAAGAATCTGCACTGCCGCATAAACGCTGAACCTGATCCAGAGCAACGTAAAGCTTTAAAGATTGAAAGATCTGCAAAACTCCACGAGATTCAAAGGATACTACAGAAGGAGGGCGAGCAATATTGGCAACGTAAGGCTGTTGAAGTAGATGCTTTACGCCCTGACCCACGGTCCTACTTCAACGCCATCAACAACTTACGCCAACTACGCTCTGGGAAGAAGGCTGCGCCTGTGCGTCTTGCTGACGCAGACGGCAGAATCATGGCAGACATCTCATGGAATCTTAATGCCTTTAATGAATATTATGAATCGGTATTTTACACTGATGGCCAGCCACTCGACCTCAGGCAGCAATCGAATGAGGAAGATCCATTCACAATCGAAGAAGTACGGTCTGCAATTATCAAGCAGAAGTCTGGTGGTGCTGTCGGTCCTGATGGTATCAGTGCTGATGCTTTGAAGTCAGCTAAAAACCTTTTCGCACCCTGGCTGACGAATTTCTTCAACGCTGTTCAAGCTACAGAGTACTGTCCTGACGACATGCGCTGCGGCCTCATCGTTCCAATCTACAAAGCCGGCAAGCCTCTAGGACATCCAAAAAGCTACCGCCCCATTATGCTCCTTTCCGTCGTCCGTAAGATCTTGACGTCAATACTCACTCGACGACACACACTCCATGTGCAGTCATATGTGGTAGAGAGCCAAGCTGGTTTCCGCCCTGGCAGATCGACCACGAATGGTGTCTTTTACGCCAGGACGATGTGTGAGCGCGCACTACTTGGCGACTGGTCATATTCATCGGCACTATTGGACTTCAGCGGTGCGTTTGACACTGTCATTCGTCAGGTTGCTCTGGAGAGGTTAGCCACTGCTGGCGCACCAACGTCCACCACTGTAGTCCTAGTATCAAACACAACAGCCCGCACGAAGCTTGGTAAACAACTAAGCAAACCATTTCCAACAAACATCGGCGTCGTCCAGGGTGACCCAATGTCACCAATAATGTTTATAACTTACGCCAAAGGTTCCATGCGTAGGATCCGAGAGCAAGCTCTACCCGCGTCAGACCTACCAACAACTTTCACACAATACGCAGACGACACCACTGCCCATCAGAACGAGCGATCATCTGTGGAAGAAACCGTCCGTGTGTGTGAACCCGTTTTCTCGGATGACAATCTGAAGCTGAACGTGGCAAAAACTCAATATTTCACTGTGACCAAGGAAGATGATTCCTGGAAATCGGTGAAGCTGCTGGGGAGTATGCTAGGCACAGCAGAAGACATAGCAGCCAGAGTGTCTGCTGCAAATCGGGCATTTGCAGGCATTCCATGGAAACGCCACAACCTGAATTCCAGGCTGTGTATGTTTTCCTGCCTGATATTGCCTGTCTTGCTGTATAATTGTGCGCTTTGGACCTTATCGCAAACATTAACCGACGTCGTCAATGTATGGCACCGGAAGAAACTACGTACCATCATTGGTATCACGTACCCACAATGAATCTCGAACACAGCGCTGTATGCCAGAACTGAGCAGACCCCACTATCCCAAGTCTGCAGGCAACGGAGACTGCTGTGGTTCGGTCATGTAGTGAGGGAAGGCGAAGAATCGTCCTCTTTCCAAGCCCTCCTAATGTCGATCAACACAACAGACATACGACGACCCCGAGGACGGCCACGTCTGAGATGGATCGACGTTGTCAAGAAAGACTTACAATGCATTAATCTGTCGCTTCTGGATGCTGTGCAATCTGCTTCTGATAGAGCTGCTTGGCTCGAAATTGTTAACAGATGCGTTGACCTCATGCAATGAGTGAAATGCGAACTGTCATTATTATTATTAGTGCAGAACAACGTGAAACGAAACCTCTCTAATGAAGAAAGTGTCTGCTCCGAACGGCTAGATTAACTCTTGTGTAATCAATGGTGCTAATGAAGCTTATATCAGATCCAGTCTGATTTAGCCACCCACACTAGAAGCAAGTACTACCTTCACTGGGGGCAGGGGTAACTGCAGCTGGGTCCCTGGACGGATACCCTGATGTGGTCAACACTTTTTCTGCACCTTATCCTCACCCACTTACTGAGGTGTGGTGAGCCCATAAGTGGCATCATTTTCAAGTTCACCCACAGTTTTTGGGGATTTCAGGGGTGTCGGCCGTTGGGCGGTTCAATAATCAATTGAGTCATCTTTCCAAGATTCCTTTTGAGTCTCTCTCCCCTCTCCAGGGGAGACCCATGTTTGGCAGTGAGCAACAAGTACAAGTACAAGTGAGTAGGATGTGTCGGGCCGGTTCTGGGTGAGGTACATGGTCTAGTCCTAAAAAATGGGGTACTATTGATAGTACCCCATTTTGGGGGTAAAAACCGGATGCCAGGTTTTTACGTAAAAACTATTTTTCGGGTAATAGAAAGGTTGTGAAGGGGTATGACATCATGATTGTACCCCAGTGGTTGTACCTGATCATTGCCCCGAATGGGAGTGGGTATAAAAAGGAGATACTTGGTCCTACTTATTACAAATTAATGTGCGCTTTGGTTCGAACGTCAAGCAAACAAATTCAAAAAATCTCAGGACGGAAACCTTCCTACTACATAACACTGTCTGTTGCGGCCCTCTGACCATGGTAGACAAGATTTCCTTTGAACCATTACTTGTTCTTGTTCTTTACAAAGTGGAATAAAACTGAATCTCAAAGAGTTCTGAAAAGCAAAGAGCGACACGTGTACAAGTAGCTTCAAGCAGAAACGCTGGCAGCGCAAAAGGAAACATGCAGCCAAAAAGATGCCTAGCTCTGGCGGTCACTGCGCATCCAGTGCACTGCGCCCCAAGGAGTGACGACATCCATAAACTGCATCGCATCATCAGATACAGCAATAGTGTACAAAGTACAACCAAAACAAAAATACCTGAGAGAAGCAAAAAAATCGAAGGGAAGAAGAAAGAGAGAAGAGAGAAGGAATATAATTCTAATTATTTAGAGCTGGACAGATATTTTCAAGGAGACATGCAGATACACAATAGAATCGACTCGACTGCATGTAGAGTAGCTGCCTCTAACTGCAGCAGAGTGGAGCACGCAGGTACGTGATCCACTCGGGAATAGTGAAAGGTGAGAGAAACAAAATACAAATAAATTCGAACGAGCAAATACAATAATTGTGAATTCATGTGCAAGTGTCTGTAACATTCTCCCCCCTGGTAACAGGGTACCGATGACCTATTACAAGTCACAAACAAACTCAGCGCAGCACGCCCAGCTTGGCAAGCTTGACGACTGGGCGCCAGTACAATCCAGACTTGGTGGGGACATCTGCTACTCGCACAACGCCATCACTGCCCGGGTGTACAGCCTCCAGTCGGCCCCGCGGCCACTGCCCTTGTGGCTGGTTGCTGTCGACGACCACCACGACATCACCTACAGCCAGTGACGGTGTCCCGTCCTGCAATTTCCTCCGCCTGGTGAGGTCTGGCCAGTATTCCAAGATCCACCTCTTCCAGAGTTCGTCGGTGATCTTCTGTGCAATCCGCCAGTCCTTCCTCAGGCACAGATCAGCATCTACAAACACGCCTGGCCGACTAGTCGCACTACTGGACCCAATGAGGAAGTGGGTGGGTGTGAGGGACTCGTGATCATCAGGATGTATTGAGACGTGAGTCAGCGGCCGACTATTCACGAGTTGCTCGGCTTCAGCGAAGACCGTGGCCAGGACTTCTTCTGTCACGACACGCTCCTTTATGACGGATTTCATAGCGATCTTCACTGCTCTGACGAGGCGCTCCCAGCTTCCACCCATGTGGGGAGCAAGTGACGGGTTGAAGTGCCATGAGATGCCCCTACTGGAACACGCAGAAGCTAGTCGGTCTTGGCGGAAATCTTCCAATGCTGCCTTCAGCTCCCTGTCAGCTCCTCGGAAATTGGTTCCATTATCTGAGTGGATTTCTTGGGGGCAACCTCGCCGGGCGCACATTCGCCTGATTGCCATGATGGCACTATCAGTGTTCAGAGAGTGAGCCACTTCCAATTGTACAGCGCGAGTACTCAGACATGTTAACAACGCACCGTAGCATAGTTCGCGGCACCTCCCGATCTTGATGTGCAACAGTCTGAAATAGTACAGCCCGGTGAATGTGAATGGTCACAGGAACGGGGTCAAGGGCTGGACAGGTAGATTTCCCATTACAGGTGGCTTGGGATTGGCTCGTTGGTTCTTGCAGTATTGACACTCAGATCATACTCGCTTCACAGCTGCTCGACCTGTCATCACCCAGTACTGCTGGCGAAGCTCATTCAATGTCCTCTCGTGTCCATGATGGCCAGAACGCAGGTGGTATTCATGGACTAGGAGCTGTGTGTACCTATGCTTCGGGCACAGGATAGCCGGGTGTTTTGCACTGTACGCCATGTGTGAGGCGACCCTGAACCCGCAGGATCCCTCCTCACCAATGGTTGGTGCTAGCTGTCGTCGACGACTGCTGGTGCTGACAGGCTGGCCATCGCTCAACAATGCCACTTCTATGGCAAAAC